CCTGTCCCCAAATAGCTGGTGCCAGTTTACTTACTTTTCACTTCCTGACTGCACAGCTTTTCTGCTCATCTTGTCGTGTGGCTGGAAAGCTGCTTTCCTCATTGGCCACAACTGAGAGCCAGCGAGACATAAAAGGGACCGGTGTAAAAATAACAMCAAAACGTTGAGAGCTGAGAGCTGGAGCTGTTTTGCTGATTTGGCATAATTTTATGCAATGRCATGATGTCGCGCTCAGAGAATATGTTGTGTCTCAGCTATGACCACATTAAACCTTAGCTTCATGTTTGTCAGACTGGCTGAGTTATAACCGTTTGGCTCTGGTGGCCATCTCGAATCTGGTTGAACCCAAAGGTTAATCAGTTCTAGATGGGCTCAGCAAAAGCCTGACAATTGCACAGTCAGACTCAGCTCTGATGGGAGCATAGTGTAGTATTAAGTATCTGCTCACATGTGTATGTGTGTACAAAAAGTGAAATATTTGAACTTTCCACACATGCTTAATGAGACAACCTTTTAAGTTCCCAAATTAAATGTTTCACAGAGAAGTGCAAGTAATTCAGATATTTATGGTTTTAAKGTTTTAAAAAAATCATTCAAATACACAGATAAATAGTTTATTTGAGAACTTGTAAAATGTCGAATCAGTAATGACTGGAAAAAGAGGTTTTAGGTAAGAAACGTAGCAGCAATGGCCCTTCTCGTCATTTCACCTTGATCTTTCTTTTCCTCTCATGGAGAATGGACTTAGTGAAGATTTGTTTCTGTGTGCTAGCACTGGAAAGGTGAAATCTTGTGAATGGGTCAGACACACTTCTTGTGCCCTCTGAGGKTTAAAGTGGAGAAAACTCAACCTTTCCTCCTCAAGTCCCGCCCCCCTGTCGGCTCATCCGAGATCCCCAACCAATGAGGAGAGTCCAGCGTGGGGAGATTAGAGCCTATTAGCACAAAGGCAGATGACCACCAGTAACCTCACTACAGCGCTCTATTTATACATTATTCATTTAAACACATCTCATTTTTCTCTTGTTTACAAAGTATTTTCTTTTGGTTTTACAGCTTTACTTGCATCTGGACTTCTTGACCCTTTTGATCAATTGCAGGTAATCAACCTTGCACCAGTTTAAACCATCACTGATCACTTGCAGTGATAGAGAAGTCTCTAGGGCTCAGAGCACAATCATTTCCAGTCCTTATCTTTCAGGGATAATCATATCCGAGACATCCTCTCTGCATCCCCAAAAAAAGCCCACTCACTCCTCACCTGAGATGCAGCACCACAAGGTGGAACTGCAGTCATCCATCATAAAAATAAAATTAGTGAACAATACAAACAGCAGAAATAGGAACACTAAGGAGATATTCAGCTGCAGATACTGCATGGACACTAAAACTCAGAGCAAACAAACCAAAATGAAGCGAAGCAAAAAATAAAATAAAAAAATAATAACTGCAGTGCAGATACAGTTAAAGTGTCTGTGGTTTAAGCAGCAGCACTTACAGAGGTGTCCAGCAAGCTGATGAGATGCAGTGTGTGCATGTGCACAAGGATGTGTGGTGCGACAAACGGGGGCATCGGGCGGACATCACGCCACCTGGTGCAAACTAGTGATTACCTTCCCACTGGCACCGGCTAGATTAAAGCTGAGGCAAGCAGGAGGAGGGCAAAGCGAGATCAGCCTAGTTTGGGCCTCGCTGGCTTCCGTATCACACCACTGAGCTCGACAAACGCTGCATGCACTCACCACACCTCTTCCTCCTGCCCTCCCTCCCTCCACCTATCTATTTCTGACACTGAATACGCAGACTCTCCCTCTCCTTCACGACACAATAAATGATACGCAGGCACACATTAGCTAGCATGCAGGGGCAAGAGAATGCACACGTGTCTTCAGGCCCACACGATGCAAGTATGCTCTTGTGCTCAGACCTTTGCTTTGACGTTTAAACAAACTGCAGAGAGCCACATCAATTGTCGTTGGCTTGATTTGACTGTCAAAGCAGAGGAAYAAGAAAGCTTGAAAATCTTAATCAGGTGGTTAGCATTCTGGTTTTTTGTGTGATTCTGAGATTTACATCTTAAACTCGCTCACACACTGAATATTTATGAACCTAACTTCACTTAAAATTCACAAGAAGTTAAATGTCTATATTTTACTGCTGGTTCATTTTTCTTCCTTATTGCATTAGATGATAAAGAAAACATGACCATTTTATAAAAATGACTAAAAATTTTTGTTTTTGCTGCAGACATTAGGTGTTGTGAATGTTTAGCTTCAAACAAATTCACGGGACTAAAATGGAAAATCTGAACATATTTAAAACTTTTTAAAGCCTAACGTTAAGATGATCAAATTTAGCACTTTTCAAGACTCTGCAGAAACCCTGTTTTAAAATTAAACCATCCCAAAATGATAAAATGAAAGATTTTCCTTCACAATTACACTTGACCTAAGCAGGCACAACATTGTTCTCTGAGAGAGACACTTAAGGAGATCTGGTCAGCACTTTAGGCATCTTGCAGGATGAGGAAGAGTATGCAAAGAATGCTGACACAGCAATTAGCCTCTCAGAATATCTGCAGCCCTAACGTGTATCAATATTATTAAGTCTAACAGATTCCTCAATTTTAGGAGGTTGTAATTAAAAATAAAAATATATAAATGTAGTAAACTCTATTGGTGTGACTCTTGCGTCAGCATTTGCATGACTAATTCTTACAGGAAGAGCAGTCCCAGCAAGAAAAAGCTGATGAATTTTCAGGTTGACTGACCCCCTACTTCCTTTTTGGAGCTTTTATTCTGGCAGGCATGAACACTGAACATGTATTGGTTGTTTTCTTCAAAAATGAACACCTACCTTTATGGCTTTAATTAAATATTGAGGGAGGAAAAAGAATAGGTTTACATGCTGTTGTGCACTAAATGAATTATTGAAACTGGGCAGCAGCAGGGTGCTGGGAAGTGAAGACAGGTGAAAAGTGTCACGATTCCTCTCTGGTCAGCTTCACTTCTGGGTTCAGTTTTCAGCCAAACAATGAATGTCGAAACCAGCATTGTTTAAATGAGCCAAGRCATTGAATATGTGGTTTATATTGATGCCTATTTATTGTTATCACCCATCACTAAAAGGTAATGATGTTATTGTGTAGTTTTTCTGTTGTGTTAGCAYAAATATCTCACAAACCAATTGAAACTTCCAGAAGGTAATCATTTTATATACATCTACACCTGACTGCCTTTTGAAGTCAGCTCCATTAAAGATGGCCGCCACAGCTAAGTGCCCACAGCAGACACAAAAATGTCCACAACTCAGTCAGTTTTACAGATATTTATCTGAAGTTTGGTGTGGTAGTATTTGAGTCATCCCCAACACATAATCTGAGCACTAACTGATGGCTTGAGATATGTTTTAAAACACTTTACCATTCACTTATACAGTCAAATGTGTCTGTCTGTTAGCAYAATATCTCTTAAACTACGAGCTGGATTTTAATGAAACTCCCAGACAGTAGTCATTGYATGTACTTTTGTGACTCTTTAAAATTTGGAGTCAATCCCAGTCAAGATGYCTGCCACAGCAAACCAAATTTAARCAACATAACTGGGCTACTTCAAGCAAGATCTTGCACTAATATTATACAAGCTCATGCATTGTGTCGAGCCTTCAAAGTTTCACCAAAACTGTAATAATTTTGTCTTTTGATTGMGAAATGATTAAAACATGTAAGTCGTCAGGCAATATCCATGCTCTCTGAAGACTGAGGATTTCATTTTATTAATATCTGTCACTTAGCAACAGCTGCTGTAAGCCTGTCAATAGAATGACCTTAAAACACAGTTAGTAATTACCCATTGTGACAAAGTCTGCAATAAAAACCTGCAAATTATTTTACAATGCACTGTAAAAACAGCAATAACCTACACTTAATTTGTCTTATCAATTGTCCCAAACGCCTCAAATGCTGTAAAACAGCCTGAAAGGTTTGTAATAGTTTAAAATAGGTTAATTCTTATCAGGCATAGAGGGCAACAACTGCTCTTTTTCTTCTGCTCAGCATCTAAAAACGTTTGCATGGTGTGTGTGAACCGGGGGTGGGGGCTGGTGGTCTCCAGTTTTGCCGGTGTGGGCCCACCGGATTTCAGCACCCCATAGCTCCTGGACAGCTCCATCCAATCAGCCGCGAGCGTTCTAAACGCGTCATCCTTCCTCATCCTTCCTCGTTCTCCCTCCCTTCATCACCGAAGCATGGCGGAGGACATGTGNCATTTTAGCCAGCTTTCAGTCACAGTCGCGTTATATTTAGATTTATATATGATTAAGGGGGGTTGAAGTGACTGTACATAACGCATTGCAGCAGATCAGTGCGGTTTGTGAGAGATGAGAACCTTTTGAAATGACGTCTGTCCGGTTCCTTTACGCACAATGTCACACGACCTTAGCAGCTGGCAGGCCTACAGCGTTTATGCAATATGGCTCACGATGTTAATAAAACCTTTGCTTTAATATATGAACCTCAATTTAACTTGACTTTGAAACGGTGAAAAAAAACAAATGAACCCCTCAGCTTGAGGTTTCAGCCGCATGGTGACCTGTCCATCCATCCCCCATCATGCACCTGATTAAAGGCAGCAAACCTGACAACATGGACGGACACTGCCCGGTTTGTCCAGGAGGTTTGGGCGTGTTATTTCAACCCGTTTAACGTGATATTAAGTCTCTTTTTTTAATGTCCAAACACGCGCTGCTTCAAAAACACCTACAATACCGTAGATGCGCCGATGCTCCATCATTAAACCAATCCATCCAGTTTTGGTGAAGCAATGAAAGCTGATGCGCTTGCAAAATGAAAAAGCCGGAGAAGCCGGCAGTGAACGCCACACAATGAGCCTCACAACCACCGAGAGGCAGGTGCATCCCCTTATTTAGTAGCAGCCGCGTGCGCGCAGAAATATCCCCCGCCGAATGAATGAAAACCGCCCGAAGAGATGCGTCGAACTCACCTAAAATGATCCAGAGTGAGCCAGAGACCAACACGAATGCGAGCATGTCTGTCTCATGGAGTCAGGTGTCCCCGGTGCAGGAGCGGCTCAGGACTGCAGCATCGACTGCAGCGGGCAGGTCTCCGGCAATCTGGGGAGATTAAGGAGGGAGGAGGAGGAGGGGAGGGAGCGCGAGCTAGAGACAATATATCTGAGACAGGCKGTGGGGGGTCAGGTCAGGGGATGGAGAGGTCCAGCAGCTCTCACTGGGAGGATTCTGCCGACAAAAAGCATGTTGAGAGAAATAACAAGGATGGAAAAAGAAATAAATAAGCGCAAGCAAGCGTTTGGAGCATCCTTCCTCCTGCGGCTTTTCCTCCTTCACCCAATTGGCTGATGCGCAATGTTACAGCGACTCTGTGACATTTAGAGYTCTGCAGGACGCCAAGGTTACTGTGGGGTGCAAGAATATGTGAACTTATCAATTAAACGTTAATTATTTTTCAACTGACCTCAACATAACCACTGTAGCTTTAATAATAAGAGGTTATGTTTTGATTTCTGTTTTTAAAAGCAGCTCTTAAGCAAAGTCTGTGTGCGGATATTTTTACATTTTCACTTTTATTTATTTTTTATTTTTTTGATATTGCTTTATTTAATGGGGGTTGGTTGGTAAATCACGCCATCCCTCCAGCTGAGCACGCTGGCTGTGACGGAATAACGTTGCATCAGAGTCACGTGGTCCATAATAGGACACGCCCCGTGAACTAAAGTAACCTTGAGAAAGGCTGACACAGACACAGAATGGGGGAGTGACATGACGAGACTTATGGAAGGCAGGAAATAAAATCATTTTCAAATGACGGAAGCCTCGTGTGAAACATGCAACAATGCATTCAAAATGCAGCTGCTGTAGCTTTTTTATACCTCTTTTCAACAGAAATTGTCCAATAAAAAAAGTGCTGAACTATGATTCATGTTCTTGTCTTTTTTTACTGAGTCATAACTGACCCTAAAATAGGTCACTGGTAAAAGAGCAGTAATCTCTTTAATTTAGTGCACCTCCCTGTTTTTTATCACTTTGCAGAAAAAAACCCAGGACACACAAAAAAACAAACTAGCACACTAAACAAACAGCTAAACCTTTCATTCATGCATGGTGAGTGACAGGGAAACAGTCAACCAGACACAAACAGGACAGCCAATTAGCCTACTGTACCTGTGCTTTTATCTCACTTAAGTTAGTCAATTTTTAATCAAGTTATCTGTGTCTGCAGGACTGTAGCTGAGTGAATGTGGAGGCACAAAAAAGCCTAAGCCTGTCTTCAGAAAAACAGATATTCTATAAACAAGTTATAGAATAATATGTAAGCATAAAAGTAGAAATGATGTTCATTTGGGAGGTTTGGGTTAAACACAGCCTAAGCCAGAACAAAGTGGACCACTCCACAGGATTTTAAAGGCAAAACAACATAGCCACATTCCCCTTACCAAAAAGTAATATATGCAGGTATTCMTTAAGTATACTAATTTAAAACTAAAAATATGAGTCTACTTCATGTTTACTTTTTAGGTACTTATCTGAAATATATTTAATCAAGTTTATCACACTATTTGGCTTGTACTAAAATATATTAAAAGTCTAAGTATTCTTAGTCTATACTTATGTTTAAACTTTTGGTCAAGATAAACTTAATTTGTAGTACACTGAATTTTCACACAGATTGGTTTATTTATAATATATTTCAAGATATCCTGTCCTTGTCAGTTTTTGGAACAAATGCAACAATGAAAACTTCAAGCAAGCTGCTGCAAAGAAGATTTGAACAGTTTAACAATTTGCACACACTGCATGCCAAGGTRAGAGTGAGTTTTAATTTGACTGGAATATTTGGTTGAGTCACAAAAAATACCTTCGTCACATTTTTCCACTTTTTTTAAATAAAAGTAGAGGTATAACTATAAGGTATTTTGGAGTGTACAGGAAAATGTGGGGTGGCATGGTGGCTCAGTTGGTGTTGGTAGAACTGATTCCTCTCAGCAAGAAGGTCGCTAGATCAAATCCGTCCTGGCGACTTTTCTGGGTAGAGTTGCATGTTTTCTCCTGGTACTCTGGCATCAAACATGACTATTAGGTTAATTGGTAACAATGTAAGAGTGAATGGTTATCTGTCTTGTTTGTGTCTTTGTGATGGACTTGTGACATGTCCAGAGTGTACCCCACCCCTCACACAGTGACTGCTGGATATGGGCACAGGTGACCCTGATAGGAAGAAGCGAGAATGGATGATGAATGGAAAATACATTTTTTACACTAAATACTGAGCCGTTGGTCGCTCAGTTGGTAGAGCTGATGCCTCTCAGCAAGAAGGTCGCTGGATCAAATCCCGTCCCGGGGATCTTTCTGGGTAGAGTTTGCATGTTCTCTCCGTAAATGCGTGGGTTCTCTCCGGGCACTCCGGCTTCCTCCCACAGACCAAAAACATGACTGTAAGTTAATTGGTAACTGTAAATTGTCCCTAGGTGTGAGTGAATGGTTGTTTGTCTCGTTTGTCTCTATGTGTGGCCCTGTGATGGACTTGCGACCTGTCCAGGGTGTACCCCGCCTRTTGCAGTGTGACTGCTGGATGTGAGCACAAGTGACCCCCGTGACCCTGAAAGAAATAAGCGGGCATAGATAATTGATGGATGGATGAATAGTGAACTACAAATGTAACAGCAAACCTAAATTGTTACTTTCAGTATACTTAAAAGTGTACTTTTTTAAACTAGTAAATTGCACTATAAGTTTACTTTTAGTAAACTGTTAGTATACCTACAAGAGTACTTTCACAAACMTAATGGGTCAATTTAGTCCCAAGAAGTATACTTGTTAGTAAACTGCTACTTATATCAGTGTACTTGGTAAACAAAAGTACATTCAGCATAATACACTTTTATATATTTTAGTATACTTATTAATATGTACTTAAAGTATAAATTTTTTTGGTAAAGGTTATTTTGGATGAGAACATGTTTTTTAAGTTTTGTTTTAACTAGTGCATTTTAAATCATGGCAAATTTGGCCTGCTAAAACAAAAAGATGCATCCTCCAGCCCCCACACACTATGTCCCCCCTGACCTTGACTGCACCAAGACATGTTCATTAACATCACAAACAGGAGTGAAGACAAGGCACAACCTTGGGAAGTCCAACACCTGCCCTGAACAAGTCTAAATTATTCTCACACTGATTCCATCCAGTCTCTGTTGTGCCGATGGCCCTCAGTGGACCCRATCCTCCTTTCAAAAAACATTGGACTGTCAAATTCCCATGGCCTCAACTGATGACTTCTTCCCAGCAATGCATTTTACAATTTTTTACTCATTAACCAAGTTTTTCCTTGTTTATCAAGCCATTTGGCAAGCCGTTCTAATGAGACACTCTGTGTAAACGTGTGCACCCATGCAGTCATTGTAAAATGTTAAAGCAAACGTTGATTTTATGACAGATCAACGGCATTGAGTCTTGTTTGTTTTTAATTTTAGATGGAAGCTTACAACAAGCTATTGGTCTCAACAAGAAAAGAAGGTAAAGTTACCTCAACAAAACACAAACAGAAGAAAAAGGAGAAATAAAAAAGAAATGGAATAAGTTTAGCTTTTGAAAAATCAATTTTTTTTAGGATTTTATTCGGAACTCTATTTCGCTTGGGTAATGTTTACTCGGTTTTTTCTGAACTGACAAGTGGTAAATGCAGGAATGGGCAACTTAAATGATGGAAAGGCCACATTTTTTTTGTTGATACTACCAGAGGGCAACATAGGGCTGCACACTTACCCATATGTAATTAAACTACAGTATAAAAATGTTTATCTATGTTTATTAAACTAATACACAGTCAAGGATGCTACTTCAGGTCTATCATGGTGTGTGTGTGTGTGTGTGTGTGTGTGTGTGTGTGTGTGTGTGTGTGTGTGTGTGTGTGTGTGTGTGTGTGGGGGGGGGGGTTGTGCTCTAAAACCCTGCATGTAATTTTTAGCAATTATGCTTAAACTTACATATATCAGGTAGTTACCTAAAGACAAGTTGCATCAGGTAATATTGTGTTTGAGCAAATGATGTAATTTTGTAGGTGGTGGTGGTGGGGGCGGGTATTTTGATTTGATCAGATTATTATGTGGGTCATAACCCCCCTTAACCCCCTGCAAATTACACCTATGCATAGAGAATCAGAATCAGAATCACCTTTATTGTCATAATAATTTGCATTAAAATGAAATTGGGTTTACTGCTCCAAAGGTGCTTGTTTTTTAGACACAATAAAATAACTTTAGGACAGTAGACAATATAATAAAATAGACAAATTAAAATCAAATAAAGACAAAAATGTGCACTATCCAAAAAAAGAGAAATCAAAGAGTTTCTGTATATAGAAATGAAGAACGGGGATTTTACAGTATATTTTTCTACATTGCTTGTAATATTGCATATTAGAGATGTTCTTGAGAACATTTCACTTGAGATATATTGCACACATGCTGTATTGCACATGGGTTGAAAGACTGAATGTTTGCTGCCATTTTTTATTTTTATTTTTTTGTGCAGTCCCGGTTCAATCCCAGATTTTATTGTTCAGTTTATTGCTCTGATGGCTCTTGGGAAGAAGCTGTTTCKGAGCTAATTTGTCTGGGTTTTGTGTAACCCATACCATCGGCCCGAGGGTAGCAGGTTAAACAGGTGGTTGCTGGGGTGGGATGGGTCCTTGATGATCTTGTAGCTCTGCTTAGGTAGCAAGAGGTGGCAATGTCCTCCAGACTGGGCAGAGAGCAGTCAGTGATCCGCTGGGCAGTGTTGATCACCCTCTGCAGCGCTTTTCTGTCTGCTGCTGAGCATCCCTCGTACCATGCTGTGATGCCGTATGCGAGGATGCTCTCACTGGTGACTCTGTGGAACAGCACCAGCAGTATCTCCTCCAGCTTGTTTCTCCTGAGTACTCTCAGGAAGTGGAGACGCTGCAGAGCGTTCTTCACCACCATTGTTGTATTTGCAGACCAAGAGAGGCTGTCCATGATCGGCATGCCCAGGAACCTGATGGAGCTGACCCTTTCCACACTGACTCCATTTATGTGAAGTGGTGTTGGTTCAGCCCTGCTCTTCCTGAAGTCCAGAATTATTTCTTTTGTATTTGTGGTGTTTAGTTGGTTGTTTGCAGAGCACCACCATGTCAGTCTGTTTTCCTCATCTCTGTGCAGTAACTTAACAAATATGAACACTAAACAAGCAAAGTGCTGAAGTGCAACATAAGACACCTTGAGTCAGACTTCTGTGTGGTTGTGGTAAAAAGTGTGTTATTTATGTACTTGGGACATCAGTAAAKCTCCCATATTTAGCTTTGTGCYWGGTGTTGTTATATTAAAATCCTTTATGACWGCGTCTTTACGCAGACAAAACACACAGGTTTGCCTTGAAGTTCTGTGAATAGATYAAAGCAGATTTTAGATTTTAGGTAATGGTTCACTACCTGAACTGGGCTGATGGGGGTGCTAAACTRTGCTAATAACACTAGAAAACATGTTAGGGGAAACACTTCCTGTGTGTAACTCATCCAACGTTTTGTTTGCCTTCTGCTTTTTACTCCACCTCTGTGACCTAACTCCAATCCAGAGATTCTTTCATGCTCTTTGTGTTTCTTGAAAGGCATAAAGTGGGAAAAAGGGATGATAAAGTCAACTTAATTATGAAACAAAAGTTTATTTTTCAGAAAATTAGAAAAAAACAAAATGTGCCAAGGTGATAAAATGTGYTTTAAATCACCCTCAGTTTTTATAWTGYMTTTCCTCAGCAAACTTAAAWMTGTTGCAAATTGCAAATGACATCTATTATTATGATAAGTATTTTAAACCAAAACAGCACATACGTTCTTAACAGGTGATTTCTAATCACTGRATTCTTAAAGCAAGTTTTACTGAATTGTCACAGAAATAAAATGCTGAGTTTCAACATAAATACATTAGCCGGGATGTTTTTGTCCTGAAAAATCACTGTTTGCAGTTCTACACCTGCATGGTGGCCACACTGTAACTGCCAGGCTCATGCCTGAGGGCTTTGACTTGATCCAGCCAGTGTCAGTGAGCTGTCAAAGCAGATGGCCCAGGGGGAGATTGGATGCTCAAGCAGCTTTCCTCATCCCAAAGCCTCAATTTACTGTTTCATCCCTMCAGGTGGCCTAAATATTCAGATTAATTGACACTGTGTGCGTCACAAGCAATGCATTTTACAGAAATTCATCAGTGCAAGCTGAAACACTCGTGTTTGTAAATGAGAATTGCTTCTCAAACATTTTACCTGGCAAAATAGAGGCCAAAAAAAAAAAAACAAATACTTCAGTGAAAAGTTAGGAATAGTGTGGGACATATGTGTGCAAGTTTGCTTTAAATGAGAACACATGATTTAACCCTAAAGGTTAGCCTATACGATTTTTTAAAGAACATTTAAGACAAATACAATTTGACCAAGATGAAGACAAAAGAACTGAAAACAACAAACTCCATATTAAAGACAATCTAATAAT